TGCCCAACTGCCCTTGGCCTGCCCACGGCCTACAGCCCGCGTCTGGCCCAGGTTACCACTCAGATTCATTTGCAAAATGTGGCCTGGGCCTGGGCGCTTTCAACCAACTGGCGCAGCGCAACTGTCTGGATTTCCCCATTGCGGGGTACCCTGAAAAACGAGGCCCTGAGGGCCCTCGCGCCTGCCTTCACTTAGGGCGGCCGACCTTGCTGCATATAGGGCCCCGTAGGGGCTAAGCGGGCGTAGCCTCGCATTCCCTCCTCCATATCTTCGTTAGTCCTCTGAGAAGATCAATCTGCAGCCATCTGGTGCTTTCCTTTCAATACATCCTTCTCATAGCGGGCAACGATTTGAGGAGCGGTCTGCATCAATTCCTCCCGAGTTAACCAACGGTCCTCCTTCGGATTTGTATGATGTCTGAAGTGGACACGAAACTGCAGCTTTGGCTTTGGAGGACGTCCCCTTCCTGGAGGCTTAAGCACAGGCATTTCTCTGTGGTCGACGATATCATCAATGTCGACTTCTCCATCCATGGTTGGGGGCAGCATAGAACGACGCGATGGAAATTGTTTAGTCTCCTTGAACGCAGCGAGCTTGGAAGCATGAAAGACTGGATAAGTTCTGAGGTGACCAGGGATACGAATGACATAGGATGGCCCATCTGGATCTGTCCCAACTATGTCTAAAACCTCCCAAGGGCCAAAGTACTGAGGCATGAGTTTGCGAGATATCCCAAACTCTTGTCCTAATTCCGAGGACTTGACCCAGACTCTGTCCCCGACCTGAAATGTAGAAGGGCGGCGGTGTCTGTTCTGAGTTTCTATCATTGCTGCCTGTGCCTTCTGCATATGTTCTACAGCCTCCTGCATCTTCTGTTCATATCGGTAGGCAAACTCTAGAGTGCCTGGTGTAGCACTTGGCTGGTTGTCCGGAAGAAGGAAGTCTAAGGGCAGTCTAGGCTTAAACGTTAGTTGTAGACTGTTAGGACTCACCCCTGTAGCGTTGTGTACAGCGTTATTGTACAGACTGGCGACAAGTGCGAGCTTTTCGTCCCAGTCCACCTGGTTGGGCTTGATATAATGCCTCAACAAGTGTTGCACAGCGCGGTTCATCTGTTCGGCCTGGCCGTTGGCTTCGGGATGATTCCCATAAGTCATCTGCAGTTGAGTTCCCTGTTCAGCTGCAGCGGCCTTCCATAACTCGCTTGTAAACGTGACATCCCGGTTGCTCACAATAGACTTGGGCAATCCGAAATCTCTCACCCAGTTTTCTTTGAACAACTTAACCTCGTACTCAGTCTTTGCTGTCTCAGGCATTGCTACTAACCTAGCAAACTTACTAAACTTATCCACGATGACAAAGATCTGTCTCATCCCACTCTTGCTGGTGACTAGCGTATCCATGAAGTCCATGGACAGGCTCTCACCCGGCCTCTCCGGAATCGGAAGGGGCTTGATCAGCCCAAGAGGAGCCTGAGTACGGGGCTTGTCTCATTGGCAAACTTGACAAGTCTCCACATCCAACTTGGCATCTTTCATCATCGTGGGCCACCAAAACTTCTGCAGCAAATTGGCTGCGGTCTTTTTGAACCCAAAATCCCCGGTGGCATCATGACACTCTCCTAAAAACAAACTACGCAGAGACTCGCTACTAGGGACACACAATCGTTTATTCCCCTCCTTCTCGAGAAACAGCAAGCCATTGACCATCTCAAACTCAGCTGAAGTCTGTTTGTCCTTCGCCTCGAGTCTGCGGATGATCTCTGACATAAACTGATCTTCTTGATAGGCCTCCACCAATGATCGAGACACGTCGTCTTTTAATTCGAACTCAGTAATCAGCGCACCTTAAATCAGGTCTACGCGACAAGGCATCAGCCACCTTATTGTACTCCCCTTTCAAATACTGGGGTCGAAGTCATACTGCTCAATGACCTCAATCCAACGCTTCAGGGCGTCGGAAAGTACTGGCTGAGTTCTCATCCATCTCAAGGTCTGATGATCAGTCCTGAGGATGAAGAACCTCCCGAGGAGATAGTGTCTTCAGTGGGTTAGAGCTTTGTAAACAGCGTAGAGTTCCTTCTCATAGGTGGACTTTGCCAACTTCTGAGACGGCATCTTCTTTGACATGTACTCGACTGGCCTCAACTTTGGCCCCTCCTGCTGCGCAAGCACGGCACCAATGCCATATTGGCTGGCATCCTCTGGGGTCAACACCGCGGGCTGGATTGCCACGAAGCCAGTGGTGACTATAAACGGCTTGCTGCCTGCTGGATGGCGACATCCTCTGGGGTCAACACCGCGGGCTGGCTTGCCACGAAGCCAGTGGACTGACTCACTGTCTGTGCGACCGTGGACCCGACGGTACCTGAACTACCGGCTTGGGAAGTCTGCTGCGCAGACGTGCTCATGGCTGTGGTAGCCATGGCTGCTGTAGCACCGGCCTCGCCAACTAAGGTTCTGTTGGCCTCGGCTGCTCTAGCTCTCCTGTGGTGTTGCTGCCTCTCCCTCTGCCGGCGGAACAACTCCCTATCACCCTCCGGTCCTAGGGACACGTGAGTTAGCGAGCCTCTGGCGGATCGCAAGATCCTACGGTTGTCCTCTTCGGTGTCCCCTGTGTCGCTCATGGACTACAACACTGTGCAATATCTACACTAGATCATTCTAGATGCCTACCGCAGCATAGTGCTCAGACCAACTATTTAGTGGTGGCTATTTTTGGAACAGATTTCATTTGGGGTCAACAGGTAAGTCAGATTCCTACCGTCAATACTATTTTCGTAAGATTAGTTCTCAAACAGAGGAAGCATCAGGAATAAACAATATTCTAAACTAATGTTGTCTATCAGATGTCACATGGCTGTCCATCTAACGAATCAAAATAAAAATAATGTTGACTGACGGGGTCTGTTCATAGCATGGAATTTAAACCCGAACTTATCATCTGGAACCTACCCCTCCCACAGTTCTTCTCAATGTCACGGTGTCATGTCCCTAAGCATCTGAAGTCAAGCGTGTCTGAAGGTGTGCAATCTGGTCCCACCCCTGTGCCCCAGGTTATCGTCGAGCAAGGCAGCCACAACACTCTTATTTATCCTCGTACGCCGACGAGCCTTACACTCGGTTGATCTGGCTGATCAAGAGGCAATTCAACGTCCGCCCCCAAGTGACTCCAGGAATTATTTTACGTCGCAGCCAAACGACGATCACAGCCAGATTCAGAGCCGAGTCCCCAACCAGAAATGTTTATAGACGGTCTGGTATGCGTCTAAAGAGGCTGCCACACTCGAGTTAACCCCTATCTTGCGCAAGCAGCAGAACCAACGACTTGCAGCGAAGCATGCGTGTACTAGTCCCAACGGGTTGGCATGGTGACCGTGACCCGATTGCTCCGTCCAGGGCCCTTCAAGAAGCTCCGCCCGTCTTCCCCCAAGATGCTCCATGTGAATAATCACGACTCTCAAGGTTGAGCGCACTCGACACCTCACGATGAGAGGACTCTCAAGACATAACTCACAACCTCACGGTAAGAAGTCATGAAGAGGGTAGATAAGGTTAAGAGCAACGTACCTCATTCAAGCTGCCCCCAACCACAAAGATAGTCTCACCAGATGATCTGAAGATGATTGCGATGACCAATCACAGCATCGGCACAACCAGCATTGTCTCTCCGTTCCACCTCAGCCTCAATCACCCAACAGATAGTTCTCATCACACTGTGAACACCCAATATTTACACGTAGCCTTCCAGGCGATGCCCCTCAACACTTGGGTCGCCAATACTTGTCACTTCCCCTCCTCACTAAACACCAATCACAGCCGACTCACGTAGCAGACCGCACGTATGTACCGCGTAAGGAAAGAGACAAGCGCCAGATGAGCGCACCGTAACACAGCTCCGATACCAAATTGCAAGGAAGATGAGCATTAGCGAGCTCCAGCAATCAAACAGCATCATACATATGTGTCCAGATAGTCTTGACCTTGAACCAACAGCAGTCATGCATCACGAGATTCACCAAATCAGAACACACCAATAGTTCGTAATTGACAATGCTGAAATAGTCTCTCATCATC